CAGAGATTTAGTGCACCAGAAATTATCTCCATTGCCAGCTCCTCACCCTCCCGCTGCTCGCGACCAACTCTCGCGGGGGGCCGGCCCAACGCGCTGAACAAGGCAGTTAGACCATTAAAAGGTTCAAGGGAAGCCAATTACACTCATGCGTCAAGCAACAGTGGCAGATATGACGCATGGCTCCTCTCTCTCTCTCCCCCCTCCACACCTTGAACCCCCTCCCCCACACCCCCCCCCCCTCCCCCCACTCCATGGCCCCCCCACCCCTCCACACCAATACATTATTGAGATAGCGAGCACAATTGTCGTGCGTGTAAGAAAGGTTGAGTAATGGGAGAGAGAGAGAGGCTTATGGTTGGGGGGGGAGGGGGGAGGAGGGGGGTTGATGGATGTGCAAAGGGCTCCTTGATGGGGGGATGAGGGAGGGGGGGGGACATCTCCCTCACTCCCCTGATGAGGGGTGAGTGGGGGTGAATTCTCCCTCACCTTCATTGAATAGGACACCTTTCTATCCCTTTCTTTGATGGGATGGGACACCTAATCCACACAACCCTTCCTCCCTCCTCTTCCTTAATGGGTAAGGGAGATCTCATGCACCCTCCCTTGACGGAATGGAACACGTTCGTGTAACATCGCTATTAGTAAGGGGTCAAAGGTTCTGACCTCTGTTATTAGTAATGGTCAAAGGGTTTGACCTCTTGTTATTAGCAAAGGTCAATTAGTAATACACCAAAGGGTCCTGCGAATATCAAAATACAGTAAGGTACTTAAATATACATTAAAACAATAATATAAAAAAAACGCATTCGTCGACGGATATCCAAAAATACATGACGGGGGTGGGGGGATGGGGTGGGGATGGGGGGGGGAGGGGAAACAATTGTAATCTGTAATCCTTTTTGTCCTATCGCTCACAGGATGAGTCCGGGATGCTCCATGAACTATTGATACCTCCATCAATCACCGCCCTCGTCCTCTGGAGCTTTCGCAACGTCCCTAAAATGATGTACTAGGCTGCTTTCCCCCTGTACTCTTGCACACACATAGTTTTCTCCTACCCTCCCTCGTTATATACGCTAATTGTTAATAAAATAATTATATATATATATATATATATATATATATATATATATATATATATATATATATTATATATATATATATATATATATATATATATATATATATATATATATATATATATTATATATATATATATATATATATATATATATATATATATATATATATATATATATATATATATATATATATATATATATATATATATATATATATATATTTTAGTGGAATGCCTAGTGCATTTCATCTATTAACTACTCTGACACTGAAAAAGTTCTTTCTGGCGTCCCTGTGGCTCATTTGGGTACTCAGTTTCCACCTGTGTCCCCTTGTTCGCGTACCACCCGTTTGAACTGTTTATCAACCCTCTGTGTGTGTGTGTGTGTGTGTGTGTGTGTGTGTGTGTGTGTGTGTGTGTGTGTGTGTGTGTGTGTGTGTGTGTAGTTTGGGTAGCAGAAGAAGACATAAGAATTTAAGAATTATTTATCAGGTTCTTTCTCTAATGATTACTTTTATCTGAAAAGGCAATTAATTGGTGATTAACAATATAATTATAGGTGGAACACGAACACACACACACACACACACACACACACACACACACACACACACACACACACACACACACACACACACACACACACACAATGAAGATAATGAAGATAGGTGTAGGGAGCAGGAGGCCAGTTACAAGGTATCATTTGGGAGATGAAATTCTTCAAGAGTCAGAGAGAGAGAAGGACCTGGGGGTTGATACCACGCCAGACCTGTCCCCTGAAACTCCATATCAAGAGGATAACATCAACAGCATATGCCAGGTTGGGTAACATAAAAACGCCATTTTGACACATGTGTAAGGATTCATTCAGAACTTTGTATACCACCTATGTCAAACCAATCCTGGAGTATGCAGCTCCAGCATGGAGTCCATATCTAGTCAAGCATGAGACTAAACTGGAAAAGGTTCAAAGGTTTGCCACCAAACAAATACCCAGGCTGAGAGGTATGAGCTACGAGGAAAGACTACCAGAATTAAACCTCACGTCGGAAGACAGAAGAGTTAGGGGGGGGGACATGATCACCACGTACAAGATTCTCAGAGGAATTGATAGGGTAGATAAAGACGGGCTATTAAACACAAGGGGCACACGCACTAGGGGACACAGGTGGAAACTGAGTGCCCAAATGAGCCACAGAGATATTAGATTTTTTAGTGTCAGAGTGGGTGACAAATGGAATGCATTAGGCAGTGATGTGGTGGAGGCTGACTCCATACACAGTTTCAAATGTAGATATGATAAGAGCCCAGTAGGCTCAGGAACCTGTTCACCCGTTGATTGACAGTTGAGAGGCGGGACCAAAGAGCCAGAGTTCAGCCCCCGCAAGCACAAATAGGTGAGTACAAATAGGTGAGTACACACACACACGCACAGCTTGGTACAATTGTTAAAATGAGAACTTTTATCAAGAAATATTAATGGTTTGGCTGCAACACCTGCTATATTACCGCATTCATCAATTTCCACGTTTCAAATGCTTTTTCATTTAATTGGAAGTATTGTGACATTCCTGACGATGGCTCAAAAGCCAGGCAAATATATTCTGGCAAATTGTATATAGAAGAGTCAGTTTTGGCTTTTATTTTAACCTTGTGTTAATTTTAGCTGGAAACTGTCAGTGGAACTATCATAAATGGTGCATGTAATACACCTCCATCATTTACCAACAACCAGTTCTGTTATTGGTCCATTTGTCTCGCATTCGACCCAAACAAAAATATCATTCAATACTGTATTAAACTACACGCTGTATTCTAAATATCAAAATAATACGCGTGGCGTGTATGTGAATATTATTTGATCAAACAGCAGAGACAAATAAACAATTATAATCCTGCAAGTGATGTATTGCTTATTTTTAACGAGAGGAATTGTGATCAAAACCAAAAACTCTACGGTAATATAAACCCGGGTTTCACTTGCAAATAAAATTGTTTTCAATTGCACATTTCAGATATTTATATTTGTATGACAATTACATGTGATTTATACAAAGAGGGTTTTGTCCTTTCCACTTAAGCCTGGTCGTCAACCGGGCTGTTTGAATAGTCTTTCGGTAAACTATGTTGTTTGTGTTTGCAAATTAGAAGAGATCGGCCATGCTGTGTATTTCCTGAAAACCAATTCTCCATAAATGACAGTACTTATAGCAACAATTTTGTCAAAAACGGATTGATAGGACACCCAAAAATTGTTTTATCCAACTGTATTAATCCAAGTGGTACCTCTTGGATTATGGTAACGAAACTTAATCTAATGAGTCTAAGGCCTAATTAAGCAAACCTAGGCACAGTTTTGTGCAGATATGTGCTAAAAAATACTGTTGTTTTTTTGGAGCTGGGAGGAGGTACAGAAAGGGAAGGAATTATCCTGGTAAAGGGCCAAGCCATTACGACTATATATCACCTGGAAGGGATCAGGATAAGGATTTTGGATGGGACGGGGGAGGGGAAGGAATGGTGCCCAACCACTTTAGACGGTCGGGGATTGAACGCTGACGTGCACGAAGGGAGGCAAGACCTCCGTTTGTGTGCGCGGGGATCTGCTGTCGTATTAGCTCCAGTGCAGTTTTTAAACACTATCATAGATCTGCTGTTGAAAAGTCCTTCTTGAATTCACCCACATACTCTGAGTACTCACATATTTATATTACTTATATCGTATATACACCTACATACTTGATGTACACACCTACACACTTGGTGTACACACCTACACACTTGGTGTACACACCTACACACTTGGTGTACACACCTACACAAAGGACAAATCACAACTGATAAATTGTCTGAAAATACTGAAATGGAAAAAATTATTTCACACCCATAACCTGTCTTCTTAATTCTCATTCTCTCTCTCTCTCTCTCTCTCGCCAGTGCACCACGTCGAAGGCATAGTAAGAGAACCCTAAGCTGCTCTAGACAATTTTAGCACTGCACTGAATCTTACATTAGTTGTAAGAGAACTGTTCACGACATCCATGATGGAAGCGCTGATCTCTAACTACACTTTGTAACCACCCGTAGAATAACTGAAATATGAATTAAATAGTGCCAAAGCAACGGAAAAGGGGAAAATACAGCAATGAACTTGGAACAAACTATACTCAATATAAACGTTCCACGAGATAGCCTAATAGATAGCCTAGATAGCCTTGCCTAATTGCAAGTAATAGTTCCACCTCTAACTACCGTGACCTATTACGGAGAAAATACAACCAATTTCGAGTACAAAAAAAAATAATGCAGCGAAAGCATAATTCTGATTTATGAAGACTGTGAACCACCATTGAACTTTCAAGCTGGGAGTATAATTAGGTAATAATTACAACCACCGCCGGGGACCCATAACCCCTGGCTTGTGTGCTGGTTAAGTCTGGTCAAAGTTGGCTCGATGATAGAGGATTAAAGTGCTTGTAATTCTCCCAAGGGAAGACTCAACTGTGGGATAAGTTGCATCGTTTCCAAGATCAGCACTTGGCGATAAGTTGGCTTCCACCGCGCACTTATTAATGGGGGGTCGGCAGGAGATGGGGAAGGGAGAGGGGGGTGGTAGTGTGGTCGGGGAAGGGGAGATGGGAAAGGTGACAAGGACAGGAAAGGTAGAGGTGAAAGGACAGGAAACATGGAAGAGAATCTTTAGCAAACTTTAAATCTATAATTAAAAACACTTGGTGCAATCTCGAATAGAGTGCCGCCTTATTCTGACACTTATTCTTCAAGCTAGAGACAATTTAAGGGGAAGCTGAAGCACCACAACGCGTGCGCTCCGTGTTCCGCCGGATGTTGGCTTTCAGGGAAGGAAAAAAAGTAGAGAAAGTTCAGTCTTCCTCAAGTGAGGTGAATGTTAACAGTGACCTTATCGACGTCCTCCGAGGTCTCGACTTTCGCTCCGGGCTGGGCCGTGGTCTCTTTCTGTCCTCCGATTTGATCCTCCGAAACTGTGGCGTCGGCCGTTGGCACTGACGGTCCGGCCTCGGCCGGTGGCACTGGCGCTCCGGCCTCGGCCGGTGGCACTGGCGCTCCGGCCTCGGCCGGTGGCAGTGGCGCTCCGGCCTGGGTCGGTGGCACTGGCGCTCCGGCCTGGGTCGGTGGCACTGGCGCTCCGGCCTGGGTCGGTGGCACTGGCGCTCCGGCCTGGGTCGGTGGCACTGGCGCTCCGGCCTGGGCCGGTGGCACTGACGTTCGGAATTGGCCAGCTGTCACTGTCACTTCCAACTCGCCCCTTGGCGCTGTCGCTCTGGCCTGGGCCATTGGCACTGGCACTCCAAACTGGTCCGTGGGCACTGACGCTCCGGCCTCGGCCATTTTTACTGACGTCCCAAATTGGTCCGATGACGTTCCGGTCAGGGATGTTGGCATAGTTGCTCCGCACTGGACTATTGGTACTGTCGCTCCGGATTGGTCCGTTGGCACTGTCGCTCCGGACTGGTCCGTTGGCACTGTCGTTCCTCTCTGGCCCGTTGGCACTGCCGTTCTTCTCTGAACCGTTGGCACTGTCCTTCTCTGGACCATTGGCACTGCCGTTCTTCTCTGACCCGTTGGCACTGTCCTTCTCTGGACCATTGGCACTGCCGTTCTTCTCTGACCCGTTGACACTGCCGTTCTTCTCTGGCCCATTGGCACTGTCCTTCTCTGGCCCGTTGGCACTGCCGTTCTTCTCTGGCCCGTTGGCACTGTCCTTCTCTGGCCCGTTGGCACTGTCCTTCTCTGGTCCGTTGGCACTGTCGTTCCTCTCTGGCCCGTTGGCACTGTCCTTCTCTGGTCCGTTGGCACTGTCGTTCCTCTCTGGTCCGTTGGCACTGTCGTTCCTCTCTGGTCCGTTGGCTCTGTCGTTCCTCTCTGGTCCGTTGGCACTGTCGTTCCTCTCTGGTCCGTTGGCTCTGTCGTTCCTCTCTGGTCCGTTGTCACTGTCGTTCCTCTCTGGTCCGTTGGCACTGTCGTTCCTCTCTGGTCCGTTGGCTCTGTCGTTCCTCTCTGGTCCGTTGGCACTGTCGTTCCTCTCTGGTCCGTTGGCACTGTCGTTCCTCTCTGGTCCGTTGGCACTGTCGTTCCTCTCTGGTCCGTTGGCTCTGTCGTTCCTCTCTGGTCCGTTGTCGTTCCTCTCTGGCCCGTTGGCACTGTCGTTCCTCTCTGGTCCGTTGTCGTTCCTCTCTGGCCCGTTGGCACTGTCGTTCCTCTCTGGTCCGTTGTCGTTCCTCTCTGGTCCGTTGTCACTGTCGTTCCTCTCTGGTCCGTTGGCACTGTCGTTCCTCTCTGGTCCGTTGGCTCTGTCGTTCCTCTCTGGTCCGTTGGCACTGTCGTTCCTCTCTGGTCCGTTGTCGTTCCTCTCTGGTCCGTTGGCACTGTCGTTCCTCTCTGGTCCGTTGGCTCTGTCGTTCCTCTCTGGTCCGTTGGCACTGTCGTTCCTCTCTGGTCCGTTGGCACTGTCGTTCCTCTCTGGTCCGTTGGCTCTGTCGTTCCTCTCTGGTCCGTTGGCTCTGTCGTTCCTCTCTGGTCCGTTGGCAATGTCGTTCCTCTCTGGTCCGTTGGCACTGTCGTTCCTCTCTGGTCCGTTGGCTCTGTCGTTCCTCTCTTTCCCGTTGGCACTGTCGTTCCTCTCTGGCCCGTTGGCTCTGTCGTTCCTCTCTGGTCCGTTGTCGTTCCTCTCTGGTCCGTTGTCGTTCCTCTCTGGTCCGTTGTCGTTCCTCTCTGGTCCGTTGTCGTTCCTCTCTGGTCCGTTGGCTCTGTCGTTCCTCTCTGGTCCGTTGGCTCTGTCGTTCCTCTCTGGTCCGTTGTCGTTCCTCTCTGGTCCGTTGGCTCTGTCGTTCCTCTCTGGTCCGTTGTCGTTCCTCTCTGGTCCGTTGTCGTTCCTCTCTGGTCCGTTGTCGTTCCTCTCTGGTCCGTTGGCACTGTCGTTCCTCTCTGGTCCGTTGGCTCTGTCGTTCCTCTCTGGTCCGTTGTCGTTCCTCTCTGGTCCGTTGGCTCTGCCGTTCCTCTCTGGTCCGTTGGCACTGTCATTCCTCTCTGGTCCGTTGGCACTGTCGTTCCTCTCTGGTCCGTTGGCACTGTCGTTCCTCTCTGGTCCGTTGTCGTTCCTCTCTGGTCCGTTGGCACTGTCGTTCCTCTCTGGTCCGTTGGCACTGTCGTTCCTCTCTGGTCCGTTGTCGTTCCTCTCTGGTCCGTTGGCACTGTCGTTCCTCTCTGGTCCGTTGTCGTTCCTCTCTGGTCCGTTGGCACTGTCGTTCCTCTCTGGTCCGTTGGCACTGTCGTTCCTCTCTGGTCCGTTGTCGTTCCTCTCTGGTCCGTTGGCACTGTCGTTCCTCTCTGGTCCGTTGGCACTGTCGTTCCTCTCTGGTCCGTTGGCACTGTCGTTCCTCTCTGGTCCGTTGGCACTGTCGTTCCTCTCTGGTCCGTTGGCACTGTCGTTCCTCTCTGGTCCGTTGGCACTGTCGTTCCTCTCTGGTCCGTTGGCACTGTCGTTCCTCTCTGGTCCGTTGGCACTGTCGTTCCTCTCTGGTCCGTTGGCACTGTCGTTCCTCTCTGGTCCGTTGGCACTGTCGTTCCTCTCTGGTCCGTTGGCACTGTCGTTCCTCTCTGGTCCGTTGGCACTGTCGTTCCTCTCTGGCCCGTTGGCACTGTCGTTCCTCTCTGGCCCATTGGCACTGTCGTTCCTCTCAGGCCCATTGGCACTGTCCTTCTCTGGCCTGCAGTTGGCTGTTGACGGGTCGTTAGTGGAGTGCCATGGCCAGAGGCGGTGTGGTTCTTGTCAGACACAACAGCCCGGTAGTACAGTTGACCTGAAGGGGGGCTGGTGTCAGCCGGGTTCATGGGGGTGTCTATGACCCAGAGGTGACCGCTGTAGCAGGCCATCAGCAGGCGGGAGCAGTTGTGGCATTTTGGGGTCAATCGGGCGGGTCCTGGGGTCTCACCGTGGGGCGTGTTGGCCCCTCTGGCACGTCGTGGGGTCTGATGGGACGCTTCTGGGGTCTGATGGGATGCTTCTGGGGTCTGATGGGACGCTTCTGGGGTCTGATGGGACGCTTCTGGGGTCTTCCACCCTCGCATCACCACCGTCAGCGTCCTGGGGTCCCAGGTCTTCCCCCGTCCCTTGCGGTACAAGCCGTTTCGGAACTGCTTCACGTGGAAAGCCGTTTTGACAGCTGTGTTTATGGCGGGAACTGGGGTGACCTGCAGGTGGTTGCTGCCGTCCGGGTGCGTCCAGTTGCCTTTCACGGAGCAGCTGGGTATGAGTACCGGCAGCTCTCCCCCGCCTACCCCCTCGCTGCCATACTTGCCATACTTGGCCATCACGAACCCCAGAGATACCCGGTGGTTCTCTAGGGATCCTCTCAGACCTATGATCTCCACGTGGTTTTCCATTGTATCCTCCGCCCCCTTCAAGGAGTCCGCTGGCCTTTTTAAGGAGTCCTCCGCCCTCTTCGAGAGGTCCTTTGCTCTCTTCGAGGGGTCCTCTGCTCTCTTCGAGGGGTCCTCTGCTCTCTTCGAGGGGTCCTCTGCTCTCTTCGAGGGGTCCTCTGCTCTCTTCGAGGGGTCCTCTGCCCCCTTCAAAGGGTTCTTTACCCTCTTCAAGGAGTCCTCCGCCACCTTCGAGAAGTCCTCTGGCCCCTTCAAGGGGTTCTCTGGCCCCTTCAAGGCGTTCTTTATCCTCTTCAAGGAGTCCTCCGCCACCTTCGAGGAGTCCTCTGCTCCCTTCAAGGGGTTCTTTACCCTCTTCAAGGAGTCCTCCGCCCCCTGCCCCCATGTCAACGCTCCGACGTGAAGTAGCGGTAAAAGTAAGGCGAAAATATTCATAAAAATTTGAAAATGAAAATTTTGAATGAAAGCATCAATGAGTTACTTCAATCTTGAGGAAATATAATGGTTTTCAAAAGTGAGATGATTGACATGAGTGTAAGCATGAGGGTGGGGAGGTGGGGGCCAGGAGCTGGGCATGAAAATGGGGGGGTGGGGGCAGAAAATCGATCAGAAAGGGGGAGAGGTTGAGAGGGGGAGAGGGGATGGATGGAATAGCTTCCAACCCTTTTCTCTCACTTCTCTTTCATCCTCCCAACCCCCACCTAACCCCCCAACCCCCTCTTGGCCAACACAAATCACTAAACTTGAACTATAACTTAAGAATGGATGAACAAACTGATGAAAACTTAATAACAAGAAAGAAATCCCAGAAGAATGAAATTGAAACGATAAGTTTGGTTTTTTTTTTAATGATAAATTCATCCTTATAACAGGAAAGATTTTGTGAAGCAAAAACAACAAAAAGGTGATTATGAGAGGACAAAAAAAAAACAAATAAATGTCCTAACCGGTTTTGCTTATCTGCTTTATGAATGGTCCGAGAGAGGGACTGGTGCAAGGTGAGTAATTGGACCATGTATATGGTCCAATTACTCACATATATCTCGTATATGGTGAGTAAGGACCATGTATTAAGCAATAATCCAGTACAGAGTGTACTCACCTAGTTGAGCTTGCGGGGGGTGGAGGTTGAGCTCTGGCTCTTTGGTCCCGCCTCTCAACTGTCAATCAACTGTAGTACAGGTTCCTGAGCCTACTGGGCTCTATCATATCTACATTTGAAACTGTGTATGGAGTCAGCCTCCACCACATCACTGCCTAATGCATTCCATGAGTGTGTGTGCGCGTGTGTGTGTACTCACCTAATTCACCTAATTGTGCTTCCGGGGGTTGAGCTTTGGCTCTTTGGTCCCGCCTCTCAACTGTCAATTAACTGGTGTACTGGTGTGTGTGTGTGTGTGTGTGTGTGTGTGTGTGTGTGTGTGATCTCCTATTTTTACTCCAATAATTGTGCCTGAAAAATCGAGCGCCAGCTCTTGGACCCCATTTTTCCATCCACCGACTAGTTTACTACAACGAATCCTGAACGATATCCCTATCATATCCACTTTTTAAATTGATAGAGTTGGCTTCTCCAACCTGCTCTTTTAGTTCAGTGGCAGTTCTCACTACTCCTTGGCTGTGTGCGTGTCTTCTCGGCCCAGTCAGGCTCATAGCTTGATTATGGAGGAGTTAAGAGGTCATAAAAGGAGTGGCTGAAAGCAATTTTAAGAAATTAGATCAAAGGCGGAGACCAAAGGAGACCCAGGAACGGACTCTCCTGCATTCATTGTTCGCTGGTAACTGTTCGCTTGTCGGGCAAGACGCTCTTATCTTCTTCTTGAGATCTTGAGATGATTTCGGGGCTTTAGTGTCCCCGCGGCCCGGTCCTCGACCAGGCCTCCACCCCCAGGAAGCAGCCTGTGACAGCTGACTAACACCAAGGTACCTATTTTACTGCCAGGTAACAGGGGCATAGGGTGAAAGAAACTCTGCCCAATGTTTCTCGCCGGCGCCCGGATCGAACCCGGGACCACAGGATCACAAGTCCAATGTGCTGTCCGCTCGGCCGACCGGCTCTCTGGGGTCTTCATTACAGTTTTGTGGTAAATTTTTATAACGTTCGTTTTTTCGTATCACGACTACCCAGCCGGTCTGCGTACACGACTGGGGAGCCGGTCGGCCGAGCGGACAGCACGCTGGACTTGTGATCCTGTGGTCCTGGGTTCGATCCGAGGCGCCGGCGAGAAACAATGAGCAGAGTTTCTTTCACCCTATGGCCCTGTTACCTAGCAGTAAAATAGGTACCTGGGTGTTGGTCAGCTGTCACGGGCTGCTTCCTAGGGGTGGAGGCCTGGTCGAGGACCGGGCCGCGGGGACACTAAAAAGCCCCGAAATCATCTCAAGATAACCTCAAGATAACCCACAGTGTTGGTACGACATCTGGATGTGTAGTGACAACACAACTCTTGATGAAAGTCGTATGGAACCACTTTGAAGTGAAAGTGGTCTTAACTTGCCTTAAGTTTTAAGGCAAGTCTAAGGTGGTCTTTTTATGGCACCTCCTGTAAGTTAAGGTGATCATGTGGAGACTTAAATTAACTAAACGAGCAGGTTGTAGAAGCCAATTTAATTTATAATCTCAAAAGGTGATATGATGGAAAGTTAGGTCGAAAATCGTTTCACTTAACAACTGGAGGCAGGAAATACGGGGTCCAAGAGCTGAAGCTCGATTCAACAGGCAAAAATAGGTGAAAACAATAGCATCACAATACCCATGACTGTCCCTCCCCCCCTCCTCCTCCCTCCATATATAACCTCTACGATACATAGCTTTCTTGCATTCTAAACACCTAAACCCCATACCGTCCAACAACCTTTTCTAAGACAAAAGCAAAATTCCCCGCCGTCCCGAGAGAACATTAGAAGAGAATGACTCCTTAAACGTCTTCCATCCCTAAGGCGACGCCCCTAAAGACACTCATTTCCCTCTTCCGGATTAATAACTCTTTGGGGGGACGAGAAAGTAATGTTGTGTTTAACGGAGTGAAAACACCAGCTCTGACCTAGGTTGGGAGTTATCTATCTTTATAAGTGGGCTTCCGCCCTGGCAACACTCCCTCATTCTCAATGGTCCATAAGGTTTATCGACCCCACTTGTGTGGCTGGTTGCCGCTGAGGTCAGACTCCTGTGTGGTGGTGGTGGGGCGACTTCGGTGTTGTGGTATTCCTTGTTGCCTGAAGGCTGTTGGTATCGAGGGTTAGTGTTCTCTCCCGCTTCCGTCGACCGGATTTTTGTGTGGTCCACACTGGTAGATGAGCTGTGTTTGTGTGGTCCACACTGGTAGATGAGCTGTGTTTGTGTGGTCCATACTGGTAGATGAGCTGTGCTTTGTGAGGTCCACACTGGTAGATGAGGTGTGCTTGTGTGGTCCACAGTGGTAGATGAGCTGTGTTTTGTGTGGTCCACACTGGTAGATGAGCTGTGCTTTGTGAGGTCCACACTGGTAGATGAGCTGTGTTTTGTGTGGTCCACACTGGTAGATGAGCTGTGTTTGTGAGGTCCACACTGGTAGATGAGCTGTGTTTTGTGAGGTCCACACTGGTAGATGAGCTGTGTTTTGTGTGGTCCACACTGGTAGATGAGCTGTGTTTGTGAGGTCCACACTGGTAGATGAGCTGTGTTTTGTGAGGTCCACACTGGTAGATGAGCTGTGTTTTGTGTGGTCCACACTGGTAGATGAGCTGTGTTTTGTGTGGTCCACACTGGTAGATGAGCTGTGTTTGTGAGGTCCACACTGGTAGATGAGCTGTGTTTTGTGAGGTCCACACTGGTAGATGAGCTGTGCTTGTGAGGTTCACACTGGTAGATGAGCTGTGTTTGTGAGGTCCACACTGGTAGATGAGCTGTGTTTGTGAGGTCCACACTGGTAGATGAGCTGTGCTTGTGTGGTCCAATTTGAAATCTATCAGGAAGACATTCATCCTCAATAACTTTTGAGATATCTACACCAATGCTAAAATCTTGGCAGATATTAAAATCTGCCCCCGGGGGGGGGGGGGTAACTTCCTTGGCGCTGGCACCCGCACCCGAGGTCTACCCTGGACCTCCTTTAGGGGTCTATCCTGGACTTCTTCAGGGGTCTACATGGTACTTTTCCCGAACTATCAGGAAATGGTCAGAAACTACCCTGGACCCTGGTCTTCTACTCTCGGCACCGCCTTTTGTCCTACAACCAATCACGAAGCGAACATCAGCACACTACCGTGATCTCTGTGCCTAGAATGGTCAGAAACCATGTCAACGGGATATCCTTGCGACTGCCATCTCCTCCCTTCTATAGATATAAAAAATATGCTCATTATTCGTTTTTTTTACTTCCAGTTCAATATTCATTACTGATGTTATATTTAGCAATCCACACTATCATATATTATAAATATATCAACAATGCCTTGAAAAATGATTCGTAAAATGTCGTTTTTCAAACATATGTATATATATTTATTTTTTTGCATTTAAAAGCCCCCTGATTAATATATTGTTGGAATTATGGTTTTTGTAAAGGGACTTTTTGTACAGAAAACCTGATAATGTTGAATTTACGATATACAGAAATCATATGATATATTTATTCGAGTGTTTTACTGTGGTACACTTTTATACCTGAAGGATACATTTTCATGTTTTTTTTTAATACTGAATGAATTAATTTGTGTGTGTGTGTGTGTGTGTGTGTGTATTCACCTAGTTGAGTTTGCGGGGGTTGAGCTTTGCTCTTTCGGCCCGCCTCTCAACTGTCAATTAATTGTTTACTAACTACTTGTTTTTTTTACTTGAGAATGGTCCAGGACGGACCGAAACGTCGTCGTCCCTTCAATTTCTAGTGTGTGGTCTGGTCAACATACTTCAGCCACGTTATTGTGACTCATCACCTGCATACTTTTTTTTT